CCCCAAAACCCCAAAACCCCATTAATACAAATATATGTTTTGGTTAGAATATTTAATTTCAAATTTACAATTTAGTTAAGGCTTTTATTTTTGAACACTAATTAGATTGAAATTGGCGAAAAAATGTTTAAGACTATTTATTATCAGACAGTTAAAACATTTGAAAAATGACATATATTTACATTTTATCTTAATAAATTAACTTATTCATTAGTGAATGATCACGTCATTTGAAGTTGAGTATTCAACAGAGCATTATCATGCTTGATTTATCACTCATTAATTGTAAGCTCTATTACACTTTGGGAACTAAGAACATAAACTCTTGAATTAGATTATGCGGCTAGCTTTTCTCCAAAGATATCGTCAACTTTTTCCCAATCATTAAGTTTATTATTCCATCTCAATAATTGATAGAGCTCATTTAATGGGTGCTATTCACAACTCAAGGCAAATAGTCCTCCCTCGTTTTCAGCTCCAGCACTAATTTCTTTAACACAAATATTTTTGAAGTCCTCAAGAGTTCCATCTACTTTTACAAGTACAACTTTATCTTAGTATACTTCAATGTTTCTATAAATCTAATTGGAGTAAAGCTACACTCCAGTTTTCTCATATAGGAAATCTCTGTATTCACTGATGTTTTTTGTCTCATTCATAACAATAGCATGTACTTTTCCGTTACTTTCGAGAGCTCCGTCTTATATTCCATAAACTGAATAAGAAGGTCCTTCAGTATATTGGACACCCATCTCTCCATCATTAGAATTTGAGATTATCAATCTTTTTCCCTCAGAGTTAACTTTAAGCTCATTCATACCGACTGGGAAAGGATAATCATTCCAAGCTCCGTTTGAGGGATTATAAACTCTAACTTTATATGAAAGAGCATAATTCTTTCCCAATTTATAAGTGAGACCAATGACCTCATTTTTACCAACAAATATATTAGCATAGTTTTAGCCTGGAAGACTTATCTGCTTAAATATTCCAACCAGTGATACTTGATTTTTAGCCTCTAAGAAATCATTATCTCCAGAGTTTCTAATCAATATTGCGAAGCTAATAGCGATTAGAGCAACTGAAGCTATAGTAATAATTGCTGACTATCTCATCTTTAAAGAGCGAGCAGGTTGAATTAATGGCTCATTGGTGTCTGATTCTGCATTCATTGACATATCCACTAAATTTCTTTGATGAAATTATTAATATCCTTATAGAAATTATCATTAATTGATAAAAGAAGATTAATATATAAAAGAATATTCCAATTTATGAAAGAGTAAACTTATTTATGCATATGGGGTTTTGGGGTTTTGGGGTTTTGGGG